CTTCTGTTCTTCTCTCTCTCTCTCTCTCTCTCTCTCTCTCTCTCTCTCTCGCAGAGGAATTTTAATAAATTCACTTATTGACCCTCTCTTATTGTCCTTCTTCTTTTTTCTTGTAATCACAAGGAAATTTGCGCATTTCTTATCATTGATATTACAATAAAACGATATAATGTAAGAAATTTACAAGTAAAAATCGATTTGCATATTTATGAACGAGCATTTTCGTAAAAACAAAAGGATGCGCAAATGCAAAACACAATGATAACAGTAGTAATCAAGTGTGCAATCTAAAATGTATCTCTTATTAATAATCAATTTCATTTGATACATCTATATATAGGATGTCCTATAATTATTAGTTATTAAGGCTCATGCGCAAGTAGAATAAGTTAAGCTAAACAAAAAATTGTTGTACTATTTTACGATTTTTATTTGTTAGTTAAGAAAGTACGATCGATTATTTGTGGAGATAGGTGACTAGAGAGGGATACGCTATATTCTTATTTGCGTCAGCAAGTATATATAATATATGAAAATCTTTTAATAATAAAAAAAGAAATACTGTTTTATAATTTATTTTTAGAATAAAAAAATAACCTTCAGAAAGAATGAATGAACTAAAAATCATTGAATTAAGGAGTATTCATTCAACTACTACTCTGGAGTAAATGTAAGTTTGCAATTTCGCGCGGCGAAATACGACTGTGCGTTGTTGCTTTGTTGTTAGGAATACAGAAAGATGTTTGGAGCTATAAGCGGATACTCACATTGTAGATCACCTTCAAACATTTTGCCACGCTCCTAGCAACCATAAATGCGTGTAATGCTAGTCATATTTCATCGCGCACACTTGCATTCGCCGGCGGATACGCGGCTTATTCGGCGATTTTTAATCATTAAGGCTCCCGCTGGTTCACCGTAAGCATTTTGAATTATGACGTCACAAGCGAGAAAATATATAAGGAAAATTCTTGCAAAGAATTACATTAAAACGGAAGTGTCATTTTGTGTCAATAAAATAACGTGCATTGCACTCGATAAAACAGACTTGTAAAATCTACTTTTGCTTTAGTAATCAATAAATATCTATACATTTAAAAACTGAATTATGCCTGATAAAAAAAAGAGCTGAAATTTAATTCTAGATATACGATTATTTATTAATTAACGGAGTGAAAGAAGGATTTTCGATATATTTTACAAGTCTGTTTCATCAAGAGAAAACGTTATTTTATCGAAAAATGTTTTTATGTTTAATTTATTTTGTTCGTCATCATGTGTTTTTTTTTTTCGCTTCTGAATTCGTCAGAATTTAAGATGGCTGTATTGAACCAGCAGGAACCTTAATTTCTTATTAATTAAATAATAAAAATTGTAAAATGATACAGAACTTTCCTCGGCTCAATTTACTTATCCTACCTAATACACGCGAACGTAATGCCAATAATTATTACACCCTATATAATATAAACTTTAAAAAAATGCCGCAAAAGTTTCGGGGTTAGACGTAAATATGGATTACATGCAAATCTGCACTTCTTTATTTATATTTTATGTAGAATAAAGTGTTGTGTTATAAATTTTCTCTTCCGTTTCTCTTTCTCTTTCTCTGAGTCCCCAACAGTGTTCACGTATCTATTTCGTTCTAATAGAGGAAGCATGGCAATATGCATAGTGCGGCTAAAAATATGAACTTTCTGTTTTTGGAACACGTCTGTATGCGTAGGAGCAGCCACTTGGCATCTATTACCAAAGTATCACGTGTACGACGCGTGCAACATTTTAAATTACAGTAAGGTCGTGATGAACGTCGGAAAAGCGCTGATTTCAGTATATTATGTGCCAGTGTGAAAATCAAAGCTCATTGTTATTTGATTCCGAGAATGACATACATTTCCGTAAAAATTCAACGATTCATTATCACCGATCGAAGTAGTTCCCCAGATCAAAATATCAGATCACTGCGGTCAAAATCAAAATAGCAATTGAAATTGATATTGAATCGGTCAAATATATATATAAATATATATATATATTTTTTTAAATATATATATTTATAAATATAAATATTTATATAAATATATATAATTTTTTTTCCTAAAATTGTATCCTTGAAATAAATGTTTTTCCTGTTTTCTAAAAAATTTTCACACTAAACGCGTTTCTGAGAGAGAGAGCACATTTTATTCATAGATTTGTATATGCTTGAATCATTTGCAATTCAAGAAATTAACATTTAATACAGCTTGACAATTGACATTTTAAATTATAGTTTATATTCACATAGCCAATTCTATGTCGAGAGTAGGCTATGCAAAGTCTACTACAAATTATTATAAACTTGTCGGCGACGAAATATAGCGCGTCCAATGATATTGAAAACAAAGCTTTTGGCAAAACTCTAGTTTATTAATAAAAATAATAATAGAGAAATTAAACAAACATTTGACACAATTTAATAAAATATAATAAAAAATTGGACAAATCTGATATTTTAACCATTTTTTTCTTTCTGTCTTTTTAGAAAAATATACGAGAAAAAATATACTTCAGTCAATATAAGACAAACGCGTTCTTTCGAATTTTTATGCCCGTAGCCTCTGCTATTTCTCTAATTTTGATTCGACGATTGTCCAATAATACCATTTAGTGAACATTTTCGATGTTGTCAGCGGTGGTCGCAGTTTTTGGTCCCGTCCCGAACGCTCATTATCAGCCGAGCTGGTACGACCACGTTTAAATTCAGCTACCCATCTTTTTACGGTGGCAAATGATGGGGCAGAGTCCCCGTAAACAGCGTTTCCAACTCGATTTTAATTTGCGCAGGCGTATTGCCTTTCAAATGTAAGAATTTAATCACGGCACGATATTCAATATATTTTTTCCATTTTTACAAAAATACTGACATTGACTGACACAAACGACTGTCAAACAATAACTGAACGTCCAAAATGGCTGAAATTTTCACAAAAGTCTTTCAAAGTATATACTATTGTAGTACTAGAATGGTTTTGACGAGTAACGTCATCTTCATGTTAAGGCTCAAAATTTTTTAGACCACCCTCGTATATAACGTTTGATCGTGCAGTTCTAAAGTTCAAGTTTCAACAGTTGATTTTTTTATTTTTCTCTTTTCCATGCATATTCATAATTCAAAATTGTAAATCAATAAATGATAAAAATGTAAATCAAATATATTTAAAAAACTGATAAATATTTAAATATTTAAAAATAATAAACAATGTTTAAATAGTGCTTAAAAAAATAGTAAAATAACAGCTTTTCATATATTATTTAAAACAGCAGATGTTTTATTTATGCCATAAATTTGCTTAAATGCATAATTTCTGCTCTAATCCGCTAATAATTCTGCAAATATGAAGGATTAAATTTTCTCAAATGCAATTGTGCCAATGCTAATGTGCTGCAATAATGTGATCAAATGTAATCAATTGCTGCTAAATTATTACTCTGTAGATTTTGTTTCTTACGCTTCAATAATTAACGATTCTAAAAAAATAAAGATCTCTCATCTTGTATATAATTATTGCGCGTATATGTATATTACTGACTGAACAAAACGCATATGAAATTCATATGAAATGCACGTGGAGAAAATTACTATATGTTTAACATACTTTAACTGTTATTAAAAAAATATCACGTGTAATTTTATCTAAGTGTAAAAGTGTTTCTTATATAATATTTATTAAAGTACAATACTTATTAAAAACTTGAAATTTTCTAGACATTTTCGCGAATTTCAGCATATCTTTTAATATACTCCTGATATGATATTAGGTTAATACACGTTATACTTATCTGCTTATATATTATCTTTCTTTTATCTATTATTTTATTTATTTATTACTACGTTTACGAAAATTAATATTTATCGGGATTTGAAAATGTCGAGAGGAAACAAGAAAATAATGTAGAAAAGATTGAATTATGACAAAGGTAGGATAAGGACGAAACTAAAAACAAAAATTTGTAATCACAGTAAGATAACGGCGACGAAATTAAATATCATTTATATTTGATATCATTTATATTTGAAGGTATAACTTTTTGTATTATATATGATCAACACTAATTTATTTGCAGGGCAAATAAATATTAGACATATGTATGTACATATAACGCTAACTTAAATAGTAATCATTATAATGTAGTTAATAGAAACTTCATACAAATTTACCAAAGGAGAATCAGTCTTATAAAATAAACTCGCTACAATATCATACATTAGATTTTCTTAATCCATCCTCAAAGGATGGATCGACTAATGACATTCACAAGCTGTATTAAATGACATTTTTTTAAATTGTAGAATAATAAATTAATATAAATGTTAAATAAAAATCTATCATTCTAAATGCTGCCTTCAGGACGTGATATCATCGTTTAATATAATTCCAGAAGAAAGGAAATATATATTTTTTGTTCAAGTACTATTTCCTATTAAAATAAAATTTGCTTTTTGAGTCCCAATTAATAAATGATATTCTCCATATGAGAATTAAGGTAGTATTATAGTATAATAAAATGACAATGTTGAATAGCATTGCGATCACAAAAACACATTCTAGTATGGTGATATGGACTTGATATAAAATATTCAAGTTATAAAATGTGTTGCCTTATTTATATAAATGCTGTAACTTATTATATGTACAACTACAAAATGCACTTCAATATGTACAATTTATGTTCTTCGCTTTGTCAAAAGAGAATCTCTAGTTAATTCTTGATTAATTCCTGATCAACGATTCAACTCTCTTTGTATCTGATCCAATGTCTTGCCCTTAGTTTCCGGAACCAAGAAATAAACGAATACAATGCCAACAGCGCTGAATAAAGAAAATATCCAAAAGGTACCATAAGGTTTCACAGCGGCGATCATGTCAGAGTAAAACTTGGTGACAATAAAAGCCATGAGCCAGTTGAATAGGCAGGCACTGCTCCCGGCGACTCCCTTTACTTCCGGTGCAAAAATCTCCGGCATCATCATCCATGGGATCGGTCCAAAGCCGAAGGAAAACAGTATGAGAAATACGCAGAGTGGGATAAGTGCGAACCACTTGATATTATCAAAGGCGGTAGTGTTATCAATACAGTAAAAGTAAATTCCGAGAAGCAAGGTCATCAGAAGCATAACTGCAATTGATGAGAGCAGCAAGATTCTCCTGCCTAATTTATCGACGACGAGAGTACTAAGAAACACTGATACCACTTGCACCGCTCCTACAATGATGGTGGCCATATTGGGCGCTATAGAGGTTCCGGCTCTTTCGAAGATATCTGAAGAATAAAAGATGATGGAATTTACGCCGCTCATTTGCTGGAAGAGCATCAATCCATAAGCAATTATAAAGCCTTTCATAGTGGCTCGGGATTTGATGGAGACTGCAAACGATGCGCCTCTATGCTTGGTTTCCTCAAGCGATTCACGATGCGCTTGCAACTCGGCATCGACGTTATACTGATTGCCACGAAGTTTAACCAAACTTTTCCTGGCGGCTACTTCATTGCCCTTCTTCAAGTAGTATACTGGAGTCTCTGGCATGAAGAAGAACACGACGAAAAATATTATCGGCATTACCGCGGAAATAATCGACAATGTCTTCATATTTTCAATAAGTGCCCCGAGAACATATGAAGCCAAGATACCTATGGTCAGCATCAATTGGAAGTACGAGCCGAGAGTACCGCGAATTTCACTCTCAGATATCTCTGCCGTATATAGAGGAGCAGCTACACAAAAAGCTCCACCACTAACGCCTGTAATAAATCTACCAAAATAGAACATGAGTAGTGATTCCGACAAGATGATAAGTAGCCAACCAGCAATGAAAGGAACTACCATGATCAACATGGCAGTCTTTCTCCCAATCATATCCGCTAATATACCAATGGGAATGCATATTGCACCCGCTCCAAGCGTGGCGAGTGATCCTATCCAAGAGAATTCAGCTGGGGTAAGAGAAATATCATAGTCCTTTTCCAGATTTATGCCATCTTTGCCAGCTGGCGATGTCCAACCGAGTACCATACCAGCAGCAAGAGCACCGAGCGTTGCTGCTATGCCTGCCAGATATTGTGGCAACTTCTTCGCTTGACCAAATTGGACATTAGTGGAGACCAAAGTTTGCTGCGATATACTAATCTTCTCAGTGGGCATGGCTTGACCACTAGCTGACAAAAGTGGCGTGCTTTCGTCGGTCTGAAAGAAAAATATTAATTAAATTAAATTTAAGCCAAAAAAAATTTCACAATAAATTTCTTAATTTCTAAATCTATTTCTTGCAAAGCAACTTTAAGAAGTAAAATTTTTTGTACACATCTCGAATAAAAACTATATTATTTTTCTATATATGTTTTTCTCGTATTTTGAAAGGAAAACTCTGATGACAAAGTACTAAAGAAAAATAAATCGAATTTGTTATTTGATTTCATTGTAATGTATCATTAATATCTTGTTTGAAGAACGTTCTATTAGACAAAGGAAATATATTGAAGGAAGGTATTGCGCTGTGGAATTACGTACGGTTGAGCATGTTGGCTCCATGTTTTCGCTATTCCACACAAAATTTGTCATTTTGAAGACAATCCTTTTAATCTACTCTATTCCTTAGTAGATGGAATCCTTTTAATCTGTTTGACAAGTTTCTCGCAAAAGTAACGCAATAATCACACATGTCGGTTTGACATTTTGCTAAACAGTCGCAAATGCGGTCGCACATGCACATTCTTCAAAACTTATCTACATCGTGACGAAATCGCAACACGAATTATAAGACGAGATCTTGATTCGTTCACTTGCACCTTCTGTACATGCGTCTCGTGTTTCCTTCTCTTGTCAACGCCGAAACACATGTTCTCCATCCCGTTTTAAAGTGCCGGGTATTTAAACTAACTATATAGTAAAGCGCTCGGAGTCGACACACTCGACATCTACCGGCGAAGGTAAAAATTAAAACTGCATACGACAAAAATGCGGAAGATAACGATTGATAAATTCTTTTTTTAATTTTTTTTTTTTTTCATACATCGATCGATTTCTTACGAAAATTTTCTTTTCCTTTCGTTAGAAATGACAGTATTTTGCACAAACGTAAATTGCAAATCGAAAATATTCTGCTGAAATGTATTTTATTTATAATACTACTTTTTTCTTTACCTTGTCGCATTTTTTTATTTATAAAGAAATCTAACAGCATAAAAATGTTCATCAGGATATCGCAAAAATAGATTACGTATATTCTCTTTTTATGCAAAATGTTTCAAAAATGAAACATCGTGTTTCAATCGCTCGGAAGGTAAGTACGAATTCAAAAGCAAAAAAATTAAAAACAAGAAAAAAGTTAGTGCGAATAAATAGATCTGAAAATGCGTTGTTTCGAGTTATTGCCATTTTTATGTTAAAAAAATTTCAAATTATTTTACTTTCGAATTTTTTTGTCAAAATTGAAAAACGAAATGGTGTTTATGAGTCTTCTCATAACATTCACATTCATAAAATTAAATAAAAGTTGTGGGCTGTTTTAATACTATTCAGGATCACAACTGTAGAATCTTGATTTCTATCAAGAGATGCTAAGAGGGTTATATCTCAATTTGCATTCTGGATAGTGCTAAAGCAACCTGTAACTTTTATTTGACTTTAATTATGTTGTTAAACTCATAAAGATTATTTCTTCTTTCAATTTTAACAAAAAAATTCTAAAGCAAAGCAATTTGAAATTTCAATATAAAAATGACGATAACTTGAAAACACTTTTTTCTGGGTGCTACTGTTTATGCCAACTCTTTTTTTTTTGTTATTTTTAGATTTCCAATCACCTCCAGAGCGATTGACCTCCACTTTTGAAATGTTCAAATCATAACGATATCTTTTAGATATCCTAATGTATTTTAGATATTTCTGTTATGTAGCTATTATATATAAAATTGCACTGAAAATGTCCATATATTTAGTCTTTTATTATTTGAGAAATATATCTATATATTCAGTACATTTATTCAAGTAAGTACTATAAGTAATCTCTCTCTCTCTCT